ATTGATATTCTTAAGGGTGGAACCCAATTTTAACAATATTTTGGGTGACACACCCCAACCCGGTGCATGCTCCGTGGATAAAAAAGGGGATGGGCTTCTGATACGCAAAATGTAGAACGAGACGAACCCAGGCACACAAGACGAGGTGGGTTCCATGCACGCAGAATGAGGTGAACTCTCGGGTGCTTACAAAACAAGTCGGGCTCCACACGCTGAAAAATATATTTTGAAGTGACTTTCTGGCACCCCAAGCATTTCAATCATTTTGTAAATTTTTCTTTTATTTCTCTTACCACTACAACAAACTATCATATTCATGGCCTTCAAAATATACTTTTCCGTGCAAAATCCATTATAATTCGTATATAAACACTTGTGATAGTTTGTCGTAGTGGTAAGAGAAAAATTAACAAACATGATTGAAGTTCCTGGGGTGCCAGAAAGTCACATGACTTTCTGCTACCCCAAGAATTTCAATCATTTTTGCATTATTTTCTTTTATTTCTTTTACCATTACGACAAACTATCATATTCAAGCCCTTCAAAATATATTTTTCCGTGCAAAATCTATTATAATTTGTATTTAAACACCTGTAATCAACCTTTTAAGACCTCAATTTAATAATATTTGAACTTGAATTTTCATTTTGTTAATTTTTTTCTTTTACCAAAATCTAAACTACATATTAGTAGAATCCTCTTTATCAACCAAAAGAGGGTGAAATACCATTTAACAAAACAAATTTTTGCTATTTTTTGTTTAAGCCTCACCTACAGGTGATTTTAACATCTCTAATATCTATATACACACACGCACATTTTAACATCTCTATGTTGTTCACTTATTTTTTTTTTTCACTTTTTGGCTTAAATATTTTACTACATATCCACTTGTTGCTCGATAAATCGTAAATCCGCTTCTAAATACATTATAAAGATTTCTTTAATGCTTACGGAAAATATTTGGAAAACGTGGATTAACACTAATGGTTTTCAGTTGGTTTTGCAAATTCATACATAAATCACCGTTCAATCAATTTATTTTGACATTCGCCGCACTGTGAAGTTTCGGAAATTAAGGCGAGGCTTTCCGTTGAGATGAGTCCCCATTTGACAATGTTCTGGAACTCACTACTATGTTTTTCACTTATTTTTTTAGTTCTCGGCTCAAATGTTCTACTAATATACATTTGTCGCTCAATAAGCCGTAAAACTGCTTTCAAATTCCTTAAAATGTTTAACTTAATGCTCAGGAAAAATATTTTACGAAAAAAAAAATTTGCATTTTTGTCAAAAAGCAGGATGTTAGGTAGGCCCGACACACGCAGAACGAGGTGAATATTGGCACGCAAAACAAGGCGAGATGTGCTCAAGAAAACAGAGCAGGTTTCCTGGCATGCAAATCGAGGCGAGCTTTGCGCATGAGAAACGAGGAGGGATACGTCTCACAAATCTAGGCCAGTCCTGCAATGAAAAACGAGGTTAGATCTGTGCATGTCAAAACGATGCAGACTCTATGGACAAAAAAAGGGACGGGCTTTTGACACACAAAACGATGCAGACACCTCACATGCAGAACGAGGCAAACCCATGCACACAAGACGAGGTGGGCTCTGCGCACACAGAATGAAGCGAACTCCTAGGTGCTTAGAAAATGAGTCAAGCTCCATGCACGGAAAAATATATTTTGAAGAACATGAATGTGATAATTTGTCGTAGTGGTAAGAGAACTGAAAGAAAAATTAACAAGCATCATTGAAATTCCTGGGGTGCCAGAAACTAGGCGTGACTTTCTACCACCCCAAGAATTTCAATCGTTTTTGTACATTTTTCTTATATTTCTTTTACCACTACAACAAACTATCATATTCATGCCCTTCAAAATATATTTTTCCGTGCAAAATTTATTATAATTTGTATTTGAACATTGTAATCAACCATTTAAGACCTAAATTTAACGATATTTGAACCCAATTTTTCTTTTATCAAAATCTAAACTACATATTAATAGAACTCTCATTGTGAACCAAAAGAAGGTGAAATACTATTTAACAAAACAAAATTTTGCTATTTTTATTTTAAGCCTCACCTACAAGTGATTTAACATCTATAATTTTATAAATTAAAAAATTAAAAAAATAAATAAAATATACATTTTAACATCTTTATGTTGTTCACTTTTTTTTTTTTTACTTTTCGGCTTAAATATTCTATTAAATATACACTTATTGCTCAATAAATCTTAAATCCGCTTCCAAATACATTATATAGATTGCCTTAATGCTCACAGAAAATATTTGGACAAAATAAAAAAATTGCATTTTTACAAAAAAAAACGTAGGTGTTACTCACGATTTTTAGTCGATTTTGCAAATTCATACATAAATCACCATTCAATCTATTTATTTTCACCTTCGCATCACTGTGAAGTTTTGAAAATTAAGTTGACGCTTTCCATTGAGATTCTAGAGTGTCGAACCCCATTTGACAATGTTATAGGACTCACTACTATGTTTTTGGCTTATCTTTTTAGTTCTCGACTCAAGTGTTCTACTAAATATACATTTTTTGTTCAATAAGTCATAAAATTGCTTTCAAATTCCTTAAAAAGTTTAACTTAATACTTAGGAAAAATATTTTTCGAAAAAAAAAAATTTGCATTTTTGTCAAAAAACATGAGTGTTAAGCAAGCTCAACGCATGCAAAACGAAGAGGACTTAGCTCAGGCAGAATGAGGCAGACCATGGCACACAAAACAAGTCGGCCTCCGCTCACAGAAAATGAATCGGGCTTCGAGCAGTACTATATCTTCATGTGTAAGTGAATTATTACAAATGAACGACGAATTCGATATTTATTACTAATACTCTTATCTTATTATTATCACACGACTTGGCACCAAATTTTCGATCTCCTAAATATATATCGTTGGGTCGGAGACAAAAGGGAGGAGTTCAAACCAAGGCCGAGCCAAACAAAGTGAACAAGATATGTACTTTGACCTCACTTTTCAAGATCATCAACTCTCACAAGTTTCAATCTGTCATCAAGCTGATTGGAGAAGTCCATTTCGAAGAGTCCAACACATCTCTTTTTAATTTTGGTCAAATATTGTTAAAATAATTATCCTACTTTTTAAGTTAAATCTTAATTTGAAGATCATCGTTCGGAGAGAAGATTCAAGACAGATGAAAAAGCTTCAACTCCCATCATTAAGATGACAAGGAAGCTAGAAAAGATCACATGTATACCACTTAACAGACCTAGAAGGGAATCTCCAAAAACACCCCATCAATGGCAAATATTTAAAGAGATATCACCCAACTCTTTGGGACATTAGGAATTGTTACATTGAATGATTTTGTGATTATCCGACCCAAACCACCCATACCAATATAGTGGTGAAGCTAGGAATTATTGAGATGAGGGGCAAAATTTGAGTGGGTAAAAATTATTGCCGGTGAGGTTTCGTGTCATGAAAACATTCCATAATGTGCTCATTCATTGCATAATGAAATGTTATTAGCAAGGGTAAAATGTTGTAGGAAAAGGTATTAAGCCGTCGGAAAAACTTTTCGAGGAAAAAAGTTTGCCGTTCGTCGTCGCAAATTCGTCCATTCGAAATGCTTTTTTTTCTTCTTTTGACTAGTCGTCCAAAAAAACACATTTTTGACGCCAATCATCCTTCGGTTTCGTTAAATCTTCATCAAAATCGATTTTTTTTTAGTCAATCCGGTGCAAATATAGTTTACAAGCTACCTCATATAAGGGTATCAAGCTCACAATGTCATCAATTTAATAAATTATGGTACAATTAGGCCGAAGATAAAAATTAATACACTTATAATATATCTTATGATGCGTTATGAGAATTTTAAAACTTCGTGGTCCATTTTAAAAACCATTTCAAACGTGACGTGTGTAAATTATAGTTAACCTAAATTTTTAAGGTAAACTCCAAATCTATACGTCTTTCATTTTTTTTTACTCATTTGAAAAGATCAAAATGAACACTACTTTGAAAACGATCAAAATGAACACTACCAATTATCTAATATTTACATATAAATAAGAGATTGAATTATGTGCTAACTATTAATCTACATTAGGTGATTGTAGACTAAAATTTATATTCATATATACAAAATTAAATACATTGCCAATATATAATTTAACAAGTCAGAACTAGAGGGTATATTTGTGAATTGTGAGTTTTTTGGGGCATACTTTGCTGCTCTCTTAAAAAGGACAGGGTATGAGTGTGAAGAGGAAACAGGAGGACCAGTGGTCCCCACTACAATCACATTATTATTATTTTTAACTCAATCGATCGAAACTGCATCGTTCCGTCTAAGAATTTTCAGAAAAAAAACTTATAACCCTACGCTGCTTTTCCGATGGGACCAGAGAGGTGGAACCATTGCTCCTATGTAGCTTTGCCCATGCCAATATGTATACAAGAGTTTCTACTCTATAGTTAACCTCTACATCAGTCTACGTGCATTTGCATTCACATTTAAATTTGAAGGGGATGAGTGAGAGTCGTGGGAGGAGGAAGCAGGCGGTTATACGTTTTCAGAGGATGTCGATAAATTGGCCTTCAATGGTAAAATGGTGCAAATCATGCCTCGTAGTTTTTCATACTACTTTTTTACTTGTATCTTTAAAATGTACTCATTCATCTAACGTGCCTTATAGTCATAATTTTTGCTCAGATGGTTGATAAACTAGTTGAAAATTTTCTATTTTCATTAGTTCATAAAAAAAAAAAATATATCGGATTCTTAACAAGTGATCCATAACAATGTGACTCGTTAACGGATCAACTCAAAACTTGTTATTTTTGTATCGTTTGGTGTCGGTTTAATAAGTCAAGAAATTATCAGGCATACTTCTAATATAACACGACCCTGCATCCTTTCTATCGTACCTTTACAAACAATCCCAATATCATCACACTTTCATATGCTGATCGACACAAATAAGCAAACATTAGAAAATTGTAATACGTCTTTCATTTATCGACTAGCATTTACAGGCAAAAAAGGACCCACAACAAAGAGAAAAGGCTAAGTTAGATAACTGCATATGAACTGGGAACGACATTCCTAACAGAGGTGTTAAATATAAATCGAATAAAAGGCGAATATAGAAGGAAAAAAAAACCTATATATCGTACAAATGGGGGCGCGACCTTCGACAGGATTTCCATGGATATCTTGCCACGCCTTATAAGCTCGATAAAGAAGAATCAACAAAACCAAATTCTATACACCGAAAAAAATACCTATTCTACATAAAATAGCTGAGAGACGTCTTCTTTCTTGATCCGCCTTCGCCATATAGGTCATTCCATTGGAGGAGCTCACTCATATTTGTCGACTCCGATGACACACTTGCACACACCTGCATTGAATTCAATATTAGGCAGCCAATGATCCCGAACACAACTGAACACTTCCGACCACCGTAGAATACTACAAGAAGCCAAAACCCCGTATTGTATTATTAGGTCACAACGTACCTGCTCATGCGCATGTTTGAAGTCCTCCATCTTCAAGGGACGAATGTCGGTACTGCAGTATAACTCCGGTACAGGTCTGTTCTCCGCCAAAGCTAAAATTCTCTCCTGCGATACGTGGAGAAAGAACTACTTAGTTGCAGTAACCAACCACACCAATTCAAGTTCATAAATCAACAAGGGCTTTGTATTTTTGTTATACTGTACAGAAAACCAACCTTTTTCTCTTTCTCTAAAATTTCCCTAATGGGGAGGTGAGCTGCAGCAACACAGAGATTCTGCAACCACAACAAAAATCGGGACAGTCCATTATATACAAGAAAATAAAACTACATAGAATATAACCGACAAAAATAAAACTACGTATGTAAAAAGCTTAGATGGGTTTCATAAAAATTAGTAGGCAACCTTTAAGTCACTTCCCGAATACCCATCTGTCATATTTGCAACTGCTTCCAAATCAACGTCAGGTTCCAAATCTTCTTTGGCCAATACAACTCTCAGTATTTTTTCTCTGTTCTGGGCATCTGGCAAGTTCACCATCAATCTGCACATAGAATCAATTTTGTACGCAGGAAGTCAATATACTTGCGTTGACATATAACAGATGCAGTAGCAGCAGAACAGGCAAACATGCGATTTTACCTCCTCGGAAGCCTCCTAATAACAGCCTCGTCAAGGTCAAAAGGCCTATTAGTAGCAGCAAGTACCAATACACGTTCTTTATCCTTTGTACGCAGACCATCCCAGTTAACCATGAACTCATTTTTCATTTTACGCATAACCTCATGTTCCCCAGGATTTTCACGTCTGCCTAACATGCTGTCAACCTATGATGGTAGCCATAACAAAATCAAATTGGAAGGGAATAAAATTGAGTGAAACAAGACGAACAAAAGGATTCTATAAACGCTCATAAACTGACATGGTATCTTGCATAGCCGTGCCATCCACTAGTGGCCTACACTGCTGTAGTTTAATAACTCTTCGTATAACTCACATTTTCCAAACGAGAAAACTAAAGAGAAAGGTTCCCTGGACAGCGCAAATATATATAATGTAATGAACCAACCTCATCAACAAAAACAACACTAGGGGCAATTTTACTAGCTAAGGAGAACACCGCTTTAACATACTTCTCTCCTTCCCCAAACCACTGCAACAAAAGTTGAAGGGGTCATGTGGATTCAATAGTTGTCACAAAATGTTTATCCAAGTTCCAACAACCACGATAAAATGCAAAAATACCTTTGATGTAATACTTGACATTGATATGTTAATAAAGTTTGCACCAGCTTCAGTTGCAACAGCCTTTGCAAGCATAGTCTTTCCAGTACCCGGAGGACCAAATAGCAAGATTCCTTTACAAGGCTGTAGAATAAGTAACAATAATCAGATAAGAAACATGAAAGAAAAGAAGCACCAACATAGAACTGTTTCACTTTCCAAAGGGGAAAAATGAAAAGTGTGCCATGTTTCTACCTTAGTCAACTGTCCCTTGCTAAATAATTCAGGCCTCTGAAGAGGAAGCATCACCAACTCCTTTAGGGTGTCCTTCACATTTTCCAAGGCCCCGATGTCATCAAAAGTAACCCCAATATCGCTCGGTGGAATAACATCAGCAAGAAGTTTTTTCTCAAATTCATTTCCAGTAACCACATCCTGAAATATCATGGAGTTAAATCCAACACAATATACACTTACTTTCCTGATTATAGAAAATCTAATTTACACTTCATCTTCAGAAAGCCGGAAGCAAGGCATTTGTGGTACTTCCCCAGAATATCAACTTACCTTAAGTGATTTCTTTATGCTCTTGTTTTCGTTTTGAATGCCTTGTAGAATGTTTAGTCCATCCCTAAGACTGTAGCATAGAACCATAAAAAATATGATAAGAAAGCAGAATAGACGGTATATTTAAACTACACTGTCCTAAGAAATTGTACAACCTTTCAGTAGAAATAACAAGTTTGTCATCTTTAACTAAAGCGCCTGAACAATGCATAAGATGGTGACTAACAGCCCAGCCTACTACTTTATCAACACCTGTTGTAGAAAAGATTATACAATGAATCGCATAAGTGAATATTAAAGTCAATGTTCCCCGCAAAATGTTCTGCACTACAAAATTTGAGTTCAAGAAAACGCACTTTCAGTTGTAAGCGCTAGATCTTTAATGCACAGACTTTCAAGGTCAGGGCAATCCACAGAAACTCGGTTAAGAACCTGAAAGCATCAGCCTTATGAAAATATACAGGAATAGCATTGAAAGCACTAAACACACTACATTAGCCACTAAACTGCTAACTAAAAATATGTCAACAGAGAAATGAATCACGGTTAGCATTAGCAAGCACTTGTGCACAATCTTCACATCCTTGTGTTTCAATAAGTGCGCAAGAAGGTGTAAGAACAGTATACATGAGAGACGTATTTAAGGGAAAGAACAATAGGAACAAAAAGAAGATGTGATCACATGTACTTACTGAGCGAATGGTAACAATATTAGACTGCGATTTCAAAGTTTCAACATCACGTTCCAACTGCTGCTTCCAGTCCGAAAGTAAAGCCTCATCCTGGCAGGATAGCCGACAAATATTACCTCATGCAAGCAATAACAAGTAGCACAATGACCATATAAGAAAAAAGGCTGACTACCAGGGGCAGCTGTATGGTCACTTTGTTGGGGAAAATCCGAGAGAGTTGAAGTTGCTTCATAGTTTTAGGAGTTTCTTTGCTCCTATCATGCAGTCTACCACCAGGGTTATCCTGAACACCACCAATAAATGTGTCATCTTGGTTTTTCAGAAGAAAAGTATCATCGTCTATGAAAAAGAGGGCAAAGTATTGTTGAATTTTATATTTCAATGTGAACAAAGCCCCCTCATCAGACTGTTTCAATTGACCTTGAGGAATTTGTGTACATTTGCAAGAGAAAGAGAGAGAGAGAGTTGAATGTAAATCAAACAGAAAGTGAATTAAAAATTAAATTAATCAGATAAGAATTTAGTTAGAGTAAAAACTCAAGACATGCTCTCACTCATCAAAGGCAAAGAAAGTAATGCACTTTGCACAGTTGTCAAGATCTACAAATCTAAATCAGAATAAGCATGATTACAGATGCTGATATGAGTGGTTAAAACTTGTATTAGCATTACATGCCACCAAGAAAAATAAAATGGAAAAGATAATGGAAATTCACATACTGGAAAAGCAAGATCAAGCAAAGCTGTTTGGTTTAAGCCGAACTTTGTAAACAAAAGGCTACCAGGATGGGACTGCAAAACATAAAAACAGTGTGTTAATGTCAAACTACAACACTAAGTTCAAAATCAGCTAACTGATAAAATCCTCAGCCTCTTACCTTCTCCTTGCGATTGTCCAACTGGGTATGAGAGCCGATCACAACAACATTTTCTGGCAAGTTTGAAAGCTTACTCTTCAAGACACTATATGCATCTGGGTTACCTGCCATAACCTTTTCTATATCTTTCAAAAACATTATCAAAGGAAGACTTTTACTCTCATTGGTTGCCACCTGCACAACATTGGTGCAGATATTAATACCAAATTAACAGCAACTATATTGGTACAGTAAAGGGAGCTCTTGTTAGTGTAAAGGAGATGAGTACCTCAAGAAGTTCACCGATTGCAAGCTTGTCAATATCATCACCTCCAGAAACATCCAAGGGAAGTAAATGACTAGCTGCATAGTAAAAATTAATTATTAACAAGAATACAAAACGTAAAATAAAGCAAAATCATGCACTAATGGGGAAGAAAACATGATTTCAGAAATTACCAGAACAAAAGAAGCCGTGATCTTCTTCACAAAGACCACCAAGATCATTGCCATCTGGTATTGATTTATCAAATCTAACACCAATTTTTGAGGCCCCATTTTCTTCAAAAGCAAGAACAACTTTGCCTCGACAACCATATGATGGTCCCCTGCAAAATTTAGAACCAAAATCACTTTTTGATCAATGGTCCATGAGATTCATATAGCATGATTATGGTAACTGTTGTTTTCCCATGCACAATTTTTTCCTCTTCCCTTTCAAACTCACATAAAAAGTTTATATAGTGGCAATCATATTAAAGGAATTTGTAAAAATTTCCAAATAAAAGAAAGAAATCGTTCATCCAACAAATTTAAATTCTGAAGCGCAAGGAGTTCTGTGCAAGACGCGCTTTTATAAATACAAGTAAACCAACTGTTAAAGGACTATTGGAACAAGGACTGCTATGAAAACTTGCCACAAACTCGCATGGGAGCTGACTCAATTTCATATGTACCAACTTATCACACATCCAGTGCCTTTGGCAGCTCGTAATTACTTGACAAGGAAGAATATTTTTAACTGTTTGGTCCACCAGCATCGTTTCTATCAACTTACATAATAAGTAATAAATCCTGAAGTTACATAATAAGTAAAGATGAAATAACAGGAAGAGAAAAGATGGAAGTTACAAAGAGATGCCATGCCAAACATTGAGGCACCAAACCGTCTGCTTAATTCAGATAATGGCACGTACAAATGCAACTTACGAATATCAAATTTACTCAGAAATGTACATGTTATACCATCATACAAATCGAATACCTTAGAAGGGGACAACTCTGCAGCGGTTGAGGACCAGAAGATATGGCACCCACAAATTTGACCCTGTCACCTGCATAGATGGATAAGCGTTAGCACCTCAAAGACAGATAGTGTTAAGTTACAATTCTAGATCAATAAACCAATAAGAAATCCACTGTATGTTCGACATTCTAAGAAACAATATCATGCCTTGTTTAAAAGTATTGACTCTGGATGATGCAGTAGAAGTCTCCTGCTTTGGCAGTGCCTGAGAACTCACAGTGGATCCGCCAGTAATTTCAGCCTCAACACTAGAGGTCGGTTTCTTGTGCTTGAATCCAGCAGCATGAGCTGCTCGTTTCGCAAATGTGGACACTCTTTCAAGCCTTGGTACTTCTTTAACAGAATCAGAATCCTTGGGCGGTGGTGCCTCAACCTATTAAGAAGTATATTTCAAGAAATATTTAAAAGAAAAATCCACAATTCTAAACTTGAATTCCTGAAATGACGAAGAAAACTGCTAGAAAAAGTAGATCAACAACAACAGAAGGAGAAGATATGCTTGTAAGCAAAGAAGATTCTAGTTAAAAAAGGGACATGAAGGAACATACACCAGGCAGGAGAAGAGAATCTACAATTAGTAATCTAGCACCAAAATGTTTCGCAAGTGCCTTTGCCAAGGTTTCCTGATATATCTCAGAACCTACAAAAGAATTATTAAAATAAAAACATAATGAATTAACTAAGAAAGAAAAAGAAAATATAAAATTTCAGAATTTACAAGCATCATCAACCACAGAATTACAAGCATCACAAACCACAAAATTACAAGCCTATGTGTAGAAATTAAAATGGCAGAAGTACCTGCTGGACCAGATAATAATATGCGCGGGCTCCCAGTAGGTAGTGATGAAAAATATTTTCCAAACTTGCTACACCTCAAATTCGGGTGGGTGGATGCAATCAAAACCTTCTTTGTTGTTTCACTGTAAAAATGCAAAATGAGGAAAGGTCTGAGCGCAGAATTTACCAATAAGAGTCCAACTACATATGGACAAATCACAATAAGGGAAGCTAGTTCAGTATCATATGATGATCTAATCCACAATAATAAAAAAAAAGGCAAATTGCTGCACCTTAGGTAATATGGAAAACTTTCGAATGAGACATCAATATCATCAGGACGTAGAATTCCATGTTGCAGTTTTTCTTTAAATGCTTGTCGCCTAGTTGATATCAACATTGGAGGATCAAAATTGTGAAGAAGTTCTCTTATTTCCCTTTGCTCATCAAGTATCTTAGAAATGCTGCCAGTTAAGTCGAAATTGGCACTAGAAGAACCGGTAAACATTCGGAAGAGTGGTCTTAGTTGATAAGTTGCCCCAGAGGCCTTCTGGGTTTCAGTATCCATATCCAATGCAACACTATCAAGATTGGGGTTTTCATTCGTAGTGTCAGGGTACTGAACAATATTTTTATCACCTGAAACTCGATCATTAATATTAGTAGTCTCCTTCATCTCAATGTCTGGAGTACGATCATCTGAATCTCGACAGGCAGAAGTAAGAGAAGGCATCTCTGCATCTTGTTGCAGATCGTCGCCAGCTTTAGCAGGTTCTGAAAGTAGTGACAAGTCATTTGGCACATTTGACATCGACGCTAATATTGAAGCCCCATCAACAGCAGAGGGGTCCCCTGATCTTGCCTCCATATGCATCCCATTAACTGGAGCATTCTGGGTTTCTAAAATGCTAATTGAAGGTATGCCCTGAGTAGCTATACTATGGTCATTGGTCAGCTGCTGGAAAATCTGATTCAAGGCTAAGGAATCAATTGAACAATACAACAAGACACTGCATTAGGTTAAGGGAAGGGTGGAACCCTAAAAGACAACATTACATGTCATAATTACTATACTTTAGATGATACTGCAGCGAAAAGGATACATATGCATGTTTTCCAGACGAGCCGAATACAACCTCATCGCCTCCGTTAAGAATCACCTTCGTGTCCTTTTGATAAGTCTTCTCATTCACCTGAACATCACCCTTACCGCATATAATCTCTAGTTCTGCAGCGGACGAACCGTCACGCTATTCAAAAACAAATTATTTGAAAAGAAATAATATCAGTCGAGCAGTTTTTTTTCACAAACCTGGGGTTCAAAAATATAACGAGTCAAGATTTATGTAGAAGCTATATTAATGACAATACCTTAACATGTTTCAGCTTACACAAAGTAGTACTAATGGATGGGTCCTTAAGACATAAATGGCACTCACAACTTTGACCGACAGTGAAAACAGTCTCACAAATGAATTGGTGCGGATTCTGGAAAAGGCATTAGAAACAAACATATAATTAGATCAAAATTACAATAGGACATCTTGACCGAGTAAGAATCATTCCTCACTATAAACAAAAGAAAGATATCAGCAACCTGTTACTTTATAACATTTAAAGCACACAATGAGCCGCTGAAAACACAAGAGAAACACTTCTTTGGCACCAAGCTATTATATATGATGTTTTTCTAATAGTCAAAAGGTATAGATATAGAGATGAAAGATATGGGAGCAATAAGGGATGACTAAGGGTGGTAGAAAGGAGGTGGAGAACATGTATATTGAATGGTGCATTCTCTTTCAATTTTCCTTCTCCCTCACAACATCCCCATTCACCCTTCTCCCTCTTTCCTCCCATGCATTGTTCCTTTACCAGTAACAAGGTAAAAAGCTACTGAAAAACCAAAAAGACAAAGATCATAAGACATTCCCTCAATATTCCAATATAATCATTAGCTATTTGTATTGAATGCACTTCAACAACAATGCTATTGAGATCCTCACAACTAGACAATTACCTATGAGGAACCACTGAACAGTGCTATGGTCCACCTTAAAGGCATGAAAAGGTGATGTATGATATTGAAGAAGGGAGACTGGTACTTTATATTCTTTCCTAGTTCCTACTTCATATGGAACGTAGAAATACTAAATTTCCTTCGTCTTCGTGTACAAAAGTACAAAAGAGAAATATCCAAGCACAAATATGAAGTAGGGAAGAACAAGAGAGAAATCTTGAACCATCCATATCTACCCTAACAGCTGAAATGACAACTGAATTTCTATCGTGAAGACTGATGGACACAATACGACTGCTAGTATGTGTTGACGGAAGCATAGTACTCAAAGAATTGCAAATTCTTGGTTGTCAGACAATTACAAGCCACTCTAAATCCTCACAAGTAGACAATTACCTATAAGTAACCACTGAAGAGTGCTATGGTCCACCTTGAAGGCATGAAAGGGCGATGTCTGATATTGAAGAGGGAGACTGGTACTTCATATTCTTGCCCACTTCATATTGAACGTAGGCATACTAAACTGCCTTCGTGTACAAAAGTAAACAAGAGATATATCTAAGCTCAAATATGAAGTAGGGAAGAATATGAGAGAGATCGTGAACCATTCGTATCTACCCTAACAGCTGATATGACAACCAGATTTCTATTGTAAAGACTGATGCACGCAATATGACTGCTTATATGTGTTGACGGAGGCATAGTACTCAAAGAATTACAAATTCTTGGTCGTCAAACAATTACAAGCCGCTCTAAATCCTCACGAGTAGACAATTACCTATAAGGAACCACTGAAGAGTACTCTGGTCCACCTTGAAGGCATGAAAAGGCGATGTACGATATTGAAAAAAGGGAGACTGGTTCTTCATATTCTTTCCTACTTCATATTAAAAGTAGGAATACCAAACTGCCTTCGTCTTCGTGTACAAAAGTATACAAGAGAATATCTAAGCCCAAATATGTAGTAGGGAAGAATAATAGAGAAATCTTGAACCATCCATATCTACCCTAACAGCTAATATGACAACCGGATTACTTTGTGAAGACTGATGGACGCAATATGACTGCTTGAATATGTTGACGAAGGCATATATAGTACTCAAAGAATTACAAATTCTTGGTCGTCATACAATTACAAGCCACTCTAAATCCTCACAAGTAGACAATTACCTAATAAATAACCACTACAGAGTACTATGGTCCACCTTGAAGGCATGAAAAGGCGATGTACAATATTGAAGAAAGGAGACTGGTACTTCATATTCTTTCCTACTTCATATTGGACGTAGGAATACTAAACTGCCTTCGTCTACGTGTACAAAAGTTTAAAAGAGAAATATCTAAGCTCAAATATGATTTAAGGAAGAATAAGAGAGAAATCTTGAACCATCCATATCTACCCTAACAGCTGATACCACAACCGGATTTCTGTTGTGAAGACTGATGTACGCAACATGACTGCTTGTATGTGTTGACAAGAGGCATAGTACTCAAAGAATTACAAATTCTTGGTCGTCATCAATTACAAGCCACTCTAAACACTGTTCTCTCCTAGGATAATTTAATCCATCATTTCATCACTCTTGAGAAAAATTTGCCCACTCACCCAATTACTCTGCATCACATTGTACTGCATTTAACAAAACCTAACACTAGCAAAGAATCGACAGACCTGTCCAACTAATTGAAAGGAATACGCCAAATAAGATATCTTTATTGATTGCTATCATTACCTAGATATATGAATGTGATAAAGTCATCTCTTTTAGCCAAACAAAAAGCATCAGGCAAAACGTAATCAAATTTTATATCTTCTACGACTTGTATATTTAAAATAACCAACAAATTTTGTTTCGCGGATCTTTCCTAAGAAAACAATGATCACAAATGGCATTGAGGAGAAAACATAAGCAACAAAATACACCTTTGAGAACTGCGAAATAAGCATTCCCCAAGCAGATTTCGAATTCAATTTTGCATTCTTCTTCGGAAGCTTCTTGGCCCGCTTCAAACCGGCACGGACTGCAGTTTCCCCTAAGAAACCCCAACAACCGAAATTCAAAATCAAACCAAAACCCTACCACAAACAAAAATTCAAACCCTAAATCCACGTATCCACGCAATGAAAACCCATATACAATTACAAAAAAAAAAAAAAAAGACATGCAAAGAGGGAGAGAGCAAAGATTGTACCCAAAGGCTGCGGTGAAACCAAGGCCTCGCCTTCCGCAACATCATCGGGGGATCTTTCCAGAGCAGTGGCATCAGGGCCGTTAATTGCCTTCAACGAATCGATAGTCGGCGGATCAGAGGATCGGAGCTCAAGTTCCGGAGGTTGAGACCCAGATTCCTTAATCGGACCCAAAGGCTCCGCCGGCGGCCCGCTCCTAACTCCGTTGTTCGACGATGAAGCATCAGACGCCTAGGGTTTCAACATTAACCGATCAATCAAGCAATTGGGAAATTCCCAAAAGAACAAAAAAAATCAAATCTTTCAACCCAAAATCGCACATGCAACATAAAATTCAAATACCCCCAGAAAGCCCTTTTCTGCAAAAACGAATTGAATTGGAAAAGACCGAACCTTTGAGCGCTTGGGGTTGGGAGGGGGGGAGGCGGATAAGGCGCGTTTGGAAGAGGAGCTGCGCCTGGTTTCAACCATGGTGAAGTTGGCGCTTTTCGTTAGAGCTGCAGTTGCGTCTTCGCCTCTGATCCAAACAAGGTAGAGAAAAGAAGAAGAATGATTGATTGAAGGAGATTATTGTTATCAGAAATAAAAATTGAGCTTTTGTATTTGTTTACTTTCCAATTCTCTCTCCCTGGTTTTATATGGTTTTAGAGAGAGAGTAGAGAGAGAAAGGAGGACAAATGGGAGAAAATACTGAAGCGGTGGAGGAAGTAGGAAGAGCCCTTGTGTGTTTGGTTCTGGTTTATACTGTTTGGAATTTTATTTGTATTTGGAATGCTTAACTTAACTAGCTAAAGAGAGAGCTTAACTTAACTAGCTAAAGAGAGAGCTTACCTTAACTAGTTAGAGAGAGAGAGAGAGAGAGAGAGAGAGAGGCCAAGAGAGTTTCTGACTCTGGATTTCGAAACGTTTCGTAGTATATATTCAAGATATATATCGGCTTTTTGGAGTTGGAGATTTGCATTTGAAATTTGAGGATTATGTATTAATGAAATTTCCATAACAATTTGCATGAGAATCTCTCTACTCGTATAATGACATATAATGTATGTACTCATGTTTCAAACACACTAAAATGTTTTGTGTTTTGTTGATGCCAAATTGAACTAGTTTTGTACTTGCCAAGTTGTAGTTTAGGTCGACAAGATCGCATGCAGTTCAACACATGCTGGTTTGGTATTGCTGTACTTTGAAAAAAATTGATTCTGCTGTGATATGAGAATAAGCTCATTTTTTGTTGCTTCACGTTTTCAGCTTTTTTCATCCAAAATTGTGAAAATAAATTGTTTTTAAGTGTTTACCAAATATTTTTTTAAATTCAGCTTTTTTTTTTTTATACATACTTTTTATAAAGCACCTCAATACCAAACCAGTCCCAAGACCCGTAAAATTCCTACCATAAAAAATCCCTAAAGTGATAAGTTACGTGCATTCAACTGGCTCCACCACGTACAATCCAATATGCCAAACCAATCACCAACCTATTGAAATGATCGACCAACTTCATGAATTTTCCACAGATCAACGACGTTGTACATGATTCGGAGAACCTTCCCATTTAATTTTTTAGTGTTTGTTTTATTTGGTTTGGCTAGTGGGTTTTAGAGGGACGAGGGTGTTCTATGAGGATGCATGCAACTTGGCTTTTCTTTTCATACCAACTGCATGCAACTAGTGCAAAAGGTCACATGATTTCATGAATCTCTATTAAAATATATGTGCACTTTGCAACTTGGATTTGGTACATTTATAAGTTCTTGTCTCCTCGTATGTTAGGCTACTTGTTCATGAGTATCGAATTGAAACTTACAGTGACTGATGGAGGACTCATTATCTGTAAAGAGCCAAGTAGAGTTCCATGCGTATTATTCAAGATGTTGACGGGATTATGGAAGAGCATAGCAGTCGCTCAAGATTTGTTGATTCCAGTTTCCATGTTGTAGCACATTTTAAATAGCAATCCACATTTGATATACTTATTATTTTATGAATTATATATTTATGAGTATGAAAGGTTTTTCAGTGTGCCCGAAACACAGGGCCAAATAGTACATATCATTACACAATTAGAGTGTTCCTCTATTATAGAATGACATATAGTGTTCCAATCTATATTCTGGGCACACTAAAAGTCTCTTAGTGAGTCGTCGATCCGTTGAGTCCCCAACAATTGAAAACGTTATGGATTAGGGAAAGGATTAGGTTAATTGAATATGTGGTTGGTAATACTTCTTAGGGGAATGTTTGAAAAAGACCAACGACTAGGACCTTAGAAAGTGGGCAAGGAATCACGCAGATTTGATCATGGACATAGGTTTTTGTTTCTGGTGACTAGCTTTAATCATTGGCAAAAGCCAATCTCATGTGCCTCACCAAATATCTAATTGCTATTTGCATCCACATCGAATCGTACTCTCCATTTTCAAGCTTTTTCTAGCATCGGAGAGAATCGAACTATGTTGTGAAGTGAGATGAAGACTCCTTTGACTGTCATTTTGCAAAAGAGTAAATAGGAAAAAGGATTAATGAAAACAAAATACGACTGAACAAAGTGAGAGTGAGATTAAGTCGAATCTTACTCTTCGTTATCGTATGTTCCTCGTTTTTCTCATGTACTTCCCCTCCATCTCTAACACAAGAATGAAATCCAAAAATTATAAAACCAAATGTTTATGAAATGGACCTAATGAGTTAGCTTGTATTAAGTTACATACGATGTGCAATTGGAGTAAGTGTAGCTCAAACAACAAATAAGTCATAATTGTGTTTGTGCGAGCTTGCTTTCTGAATTAGAGCTTAAGGATTTAGCGGTTCTGAATCGTTATTTGGTTATTACAAGTTTTTCTGTAATCCTTTCTTGCATCTATTTTCTGGTTCAATTTGTGGAATTTTTCAGGTCGACGGGCCAAGGGCCCACTCTAACAACATCAATACTATTCTCACTTTACCACCTACCTAATCCTCAGGTGTGGGGTTTTATCACAAAAGGTCTTGGTGTTAGTTAGAATGGTGTAATTCTATTTAAAGTACTCTTCTCTTCTCCCTCTGTTCGATGTGGGACAAATGAGGATTCCAACACTCCCCGGCACGTGAGACCCCATTTTATGGGTCATACGTGGAAATCCACATCGGCAACCACGTGGACCCAATGGGGGCTCACCTATCGTGCGGGGCCAAACGGGAACCCACCCAATCATGTGGCAATTTTGGCTTATGTGGACATCGTGCGGGGCCAAAGGGGACCCACCCATTCATGTGGCAATACGGGCCCGTCCCCTGGCTCGATACCATGTGGAATTTTTCAGGTCGACAGGTCGAGGGCCCACTCTAACAACACCGATAATGTCCCTAGTTTACCACCTACCCAATCCTCAGGTGTGGGGTTTTATCACAAAAGGTCTCGGTGTTAGTTAGAGTGGTGTAATTCTATTTAAAGTACTCTTCTCATCTCCCTCTGTCTGATGTGGGACAAATGAGGGTTCCAACACCATTCGTAAGCTTTGGATTATAGGAGCTTGTCCATATTTGAGACATTTTGTTTTTACCTTACTATTGTCGTTGATTTTATGTCTTTGTAGGTCTTGACTTCGTCCCCCGCTTGTATTTCTCTCTTTTATTTTCTTTCATTATTTTTATTAATGAAAAAAGGATGGAGAAGGGACGGGTGAGAGTTTTTTGATGAAAGGGATAAGTGTCTCGCACACAACTATTGTCGAAGAGTTAATCTCGCCTAATTTTTGTCCATTTCACTTTTAACAAAGTCATAATTGTGCTTTATATTACAATATTCTATCCACAATTTACCAACAATAACCGATTGCATATCAAACTCGTCATTCATATGATTCGAACTTGAAAATTTTCAACTTACAAGTGGAGAGGAATATAATAAACTATAAGTGGTATACTAAACTATAGGTGGTATACTAAACTATAAGTGGTACTAGTAGCAATAAGTTAGGTGAACATTTGAATTGAACTAATAGTATCTATCATAAGCAAACGATATTTAACTTGTTGCACAAACACATCGTTATATTGTCACATTGTGTGACAAACAAACACGTTCAAGTTATAACATGCATATCTATTTATAAATGTATCCTAAATCGATGACATATTAACCATACATCCACCCATATTGTCACACTCATAGAACTTTGTCATTTACATTCATGAACCTACTCTTAAGATGGGTTCCTTAGATTAGGCCGAGGAAGGGCAATCAGGCTTAACAACTTGCCTATTTATTTTTATAAGTCCGCACTCAACCAACGTTGCCCACCAACTCGTAGCCTAAACCAATCAAACTCACATGGCTCGTAGAAAAAAAAAAAGAAGATAAAAGTTCTCTAATACATTGAGTTCAGCTTGATATAATGATTATTTTCTCGTTACGATTATCACTTTAATATCGTTTTGTCACATACGATTGTCGATGTTTGGTGGCATCAGTCATTGGCTGATACCGTCACATCGTATTACATATGTTATTGACTAATATGACTTGACCTTTGGTAGTGTAGAAATTAAGCATTGGATAAATGTAGAAGGTGCCGTATGTGTGATAAATCTAAACCCTAAATCTAGAAGGCACAGAGTTAGGGCCATCCATTTGTAGATGAGGAATAAGAGGGAGCAAATGATAACACGTAGAGACCAAGAAACAACAAAACGCCCGATCTTATTATTTCATCCCAAAACCTTATCTTTCAAATGAAAACAAACAAAGCGCAATTGACAATTACTTGTTACCTTTCGATATAGATTTTTTCAATCCCTTGGGTAGGGGATGGATGGATTTGGAAATGGAGATGTTGAAGACTTACTAGATTTGGAGAAATTTGGCGGTTGATGTTGTGTAACACTTACATGTACGAGTGAACAACTGACGGTAAAAAATGGTTACATACCACATAATAATGGCTAACCATTTGCTTAACCTTTGCAATTACAAAAACATATATTACCTAAAATTTCTAAAGAGAAAAAATACCACATCATATTTCACAAGATCAACACTCAATATTTTTTGAACTCAATAAATCTTTAAAACACATTAATTTCATATTTTTTTTTTCATCAAATTGAGTGTCATAAATAGCAAACACCAACAACAATGTGATAAAATTTGACCATAGAAAGCAAAATGACACATTTCAAAATAAGGGTGGTACTATCTACATATTTCCCTCAATTTTTGGCCGTCGGATAAATTGAAGAAGATTAAATATTAGAAATTAACAAAAGGTGTTTGAGAAGTAAAAATGAGGATGTGAATAACACCACTCTAAAATAAATGATATATCATTTTTTCATTAAAAAATATATTCATGGGACATTACTAATTTACGCTTATATTATATGAAGAAGATTTACTAAAATGATCAGAGTTCAACTTTAAATTTAGATTGATCAAAATTAAATATTAACCATTGTGGCCAATTTTAAAAAAATGGCAGCAAATGATGATTTTTTTTCTTTCCATACAACGATATTCTAATATAAGAGGGTGACATATTTTACTGGGGATGGATTTGGCTAGGCCAGATTATGAGTAAAGTACTAACTAGGTATCGAGTCAGATTATGAGAAAACCATTAACTATGTATTAAACTCAACAAAAATATAATATGTTATTACTATCTATGTGAGTCGAACTTAAAATCTTTATTTAAAAGTAAAGATGAATACACCAAATTTCTTTCATTAAAATGTTCATTACCGCCAATTTCTAAAACAAAATTTGGCAGCAAATGACAATTTTTGTTTCATACAACGATATTCAATTATAAGAGGATGAGATACTTTGCTAGGAGAGGGATTTGGCTATTTCAGATCGTGAGTAAACCACTAATTAGATATTAAGTCAACGCTAAAATAATACGTTCTCACTATTCATGTGAGTCGAACTAAAATATTTTATTTACAAATAAACATAAATACTACTAAATTTCTTTAGATAAAATGATCGTTGTGGCAAATTTCTAAACAAAAACCGGCAGCAAATGATCATTAAAAATAATTAAAAAAAGCAACAAATGAGAGAAAAATCTAGGGAGAAAGGACATTTTAGTAAATTTAGGAGTGGTGCGAACATCGGATGGAACTCCCACGCCCAGTGCCCTCTCTCTCTCTCTCTCTCTCTACAAACAAGGAACTTGGAAGTCCCGAAACCCTCCTCTCCTAAATCCTTATCTCCTCGGCCAAACTCCCCCCCCTTCATTTCCACAAAACCCAAATCCCAAAAACCCTTCAACTTCCACCTCACCGCCAGCAGCCTCCGATGGAGTCCAAGCTTTCTGCTTCCGAGGAGGAGGCTCAGCACCTCTTAAACGCACCAGGTTCTTCCTTTTTTTCTTCGCAGTACTCTGATATCGATGATTTATCGAAAACCCATGTTTCCCAAATTGATAACGACGAGAAATTTAGCGGGGTTGGTGGCCGTGGTGACGGTGGCGCGTCGGAGACTGAGGAGGGGTTTGGGAGTGGGGAGGAGGATTTTGATTCCGAGAGGGCGTTTGTGAGAGGCGCAGTGGTTGGGGGTGGTGCAGGAGAGGAGGAGGATTCCAGTGTTAAGTTTGTTAACTCGTCGGAATTCTTCTATCCGACGAGTAGTCTGCGGCCGGTTGCCAAGGTTTCGGTGGATGACGACGACGAGGAGGAGGATACCAGGGAAGAAGGGGTTAGGGATTTGAAGAGTTTAGAGGGTGGGGGTTCTAACGGTGTCGCTTGGGGGGATAGTGGGATGGGGAAGAGTGAAAATTTGGGTGAAGTGGTCACGGAAAATGGTGTTAGTGGTGGTGAAGGTGATAACGTAGTTGAGAATTCGAAATTGGTTGAGGGTTTAGGCTCGGTGGTGGAGGAAACCCCGGCAGTGGAGAAAAGCCCTGTGGTGGAGAAGCCGGTGGAGGTGGCTGAAGTAGATGATAAGGAGGCTGTAGATAAGTTTGTTGAAGTTGAAGAGAATGGTATGGAAATTACTAGTGGAGGTGACTCAGTTGTGCAGGATATACATGCCAATTTGTCACATACAGGAGCAGCTGTTGTCGTTGGCGATGTAGAGACGATTGAGGAATCTGAAATAAAGGGCTTGATGGTTGATAAAGGTGTGAGTTTGGATAATGGTTTTGATCAAATTAGCCGGGAGGTGGCTGAAGTAGATGATAAGGAGGTTGTAGAGCAGCCTAAGGATGAGGATGTTTTCAATGACGAAACAGAAGTTGTGAGAGAGAGTAAAGAAAATGGCGTGGTGGGGGATGAGCCAGCTGATGATAAGTTTGTTGAAGTTGAAGACAACGGTGTGGAAATTACTACTGGAGGTGACTCAATTGTGCAGGATATACATGCCAATTTGTCACAGACAGGAGCAGCTGTTGTCGTTGGCAATGCAGAGATGATTGAGGAATCTGAAATAAAAGGCTTAGTGGTTGAAGAAGGTGTGAGTTTGGATAATGTTTTTGATCAAATTAGCCGTGAGACCAAAGAACCAAATGACTCGGGGTCAGTGGCTGTGGAATATGTGCATGACAGAGCGGTTGTTCCTGAGTCTGGGAATGTGGATCATGGAGAGAAAGCTGTTGTTGCTGCTAGTGTGGATGAAGTTGATCTCGAGAAGAGGCCAGAAAGGGAGGATGGACTGAAATCTGATTCCGAAACCAGAGAGAAAGGGATGGTGAGGGAATTAGGTGCTGATGTGGTCTCAGATGACAAACTATTGGTTGGGAATGGAGCTGAAATGGAAACTGTGAACGTTGTTTCTGGTTTAGCAGAACAAGAACCAGAGACTGAGGCAAAACCGGGTAACGGTGACTTGAGTGTACATGATGAAGTGCATGAATTGACAGCGGCTGTCCCTGGAAAATATGTGGCACCTGAGTTTCTGGATTCAAGTTCTAATAGCCGAGAAGTAAAGCTAGATGAGGAAGTTGAGGAGAAGCATTCCTCTGATGAAGTTGGCATTGAATCCGTGGGTCCAAATTCCATTTCAAACCGAGAGATAAGAGTCGAAACTGATGATGGCGATGGCAATAAGGATCTTCAAGATGATCATGATAATGATCTTCAAGATGATGAAGGTGAGAATGAAGGTTCAGTTACAGATGCGAACAATGAAGGTATGATTTTTGGAAGCTCTGAAGCTGCTAAACAGTTTTTGGAAGAGTTGGAGCGAGGATCAGGTGCTGGCTCTTACTCAGGTGCTGAGAGTTATCATGATCATTCACAGAGAATTGATGGCCAGATTGTCACGGATTCGGATGAAGAAGTGGACACTGATGAGGAAGGGGGCGGAAAAGAGTTATTTGATTCAGCTGCGTTGGCAGCTCTTTTGAAAGCAGCAACAGGTGCTTCCTCAGATGGTGGCAATGTTACATTTACCACCCCAGATGGATCCAGGCTTTTCTCCGTTGAGCGTCCTGCTGGGTTGGGGTCCTCAATTCGGTCGTTGAAACCTGCTTCACGACCAAACAACTCGAACCTTGTGACTTCCAATGCCACAGTTGGGGGAGGTTCTGAGAACTTGAGTGAAGAAGAGAGAGCGAAGCTCGAAAAGTTTCAGCAGATAAGGGTTAAGTTCTTGAGGCTTGTTCAGAGATTAGGTGTTTCTACAGAAGAGTCGGTGCCAAGACAGGTTCTATACCGCCTAGCTCTTGTGTCAGGGAGGCAAAACAGTCAAGAATTTAGCCTTGAAGCTGCAAAGATGACCGCTCTCCAGCTTGAAGCAGAGGAGAAAGATGATTTGGACTTCTCCTTGAACATATTGGTTCTTGGGAAAGCAGGTGTTGGGAAGAGTGCCACTATAAATTCGATTTTCGGTGCAGAAGTTACCCCAATTAATGCTTTTGCACCTGGAACAACTACTGTGAAAGAAATTGTTGGAGTGGTGGATGGAGTCAAAATTAAGGTGTTTGATACACCAGGTCTGAAATCTGCTGCAATGGAACAGGGCATAAATCGCAAAATTTTATCTTCTGTGCAGAGGCATATGAAAAAATCCCCCCCAGATGTTGTCCTCTATGTGGATCGGATGGACTCGCGAAGTAGGGATCTAAGTGATGTCCCATTGTTAAGATCAATCACTAATGCCCTTGGTCCTTCAATTTGGCGAAGCACCATAGTTACTCTGACTCACAGCTCATCTGCTCCTCCTGATGGACCATCAGGCTCCCCTCTGAATTATGAGATGTTTCGTAGTCAGCGGGAACAAATCATGCAGCAGACTATTGGACAAGCTGTTGGTGACCTAAGGTTTATGAATCCAAGTATGATGAGTCCAATATCTCTTGTAGAGAACCACCCGTCTTGTCGGAAGAGGGATAATCAGAAAGTGCTCCCTAATGGTGTAGCTTGGAGATCCCATCTATTGCTCTTATGCTACTCTATGAAGATCTTGTCTGATGCGTCTAATCTCTCAAAACCTCAGGAATCATTTGATCACCGTAAGCTCTTTGGTTTGCGTTCCCGTTCAGCTCCTCTTCCATACTTGTTGTCTTGGCTGTTGCAATCTCGTCCGCACCCAAAGCTTGCTACCGATCAAGGTGGTGAGAATGCTGATTCAGACATTGACTTGGCTGACTTGTCCGATTCTGATCAAGAGGAAGAAGAGGATGAGTATGATCAGCTTCCGTCATTTAAGCCCCTCAAGAAGGCCCAGATTGCTAAGCTTAGTAGAGAGCAGAGGAAAGCGTACGCTGAGGAGTATGATTATAGGGTTAAGCTCCTCCAGAAAAAGATGTGGAAAGAAGAGTTGAGAAGGATGAAGGAAATGAAGAAGAAGGGCAAGGTCAGTGAAGAGGAGTATGGTTATTTGGGTGAAGAGGATCCAGAAAACGGTGCTCCAGCAGCTGTGCCGGTTGCATTACCTGATATGGTTTTGCCGCCTTCTTTTGATGGTGAAAATCCAGCTTACAGGTACCGGTTCCTGGAGCCGACTTCTCAGTTCACGGCAAGGCCAGTGTTGGACCCCCAAGGCTGGGACCATGACTGTGGGTACGATGGTGTCAACCTTGAACATAGTCTGGCCATTGCTAATTCTTTTCCAGCAGCTGTTGCTGTTCAGCTTACAAAGGATAAGAAAGAGTTCAATATCCATTTGGATTCCTCGGTTGGTGCTAAGCACGGGGAGAACTGGTCGAGTATGCTAGGGTTTGACATTCAGAACATTGGAAAGCAACTTGCATACATTGTGCGAGGAGACACCAAAGTCAAGACCTCCAAGAGGTTCAAGAATGCTGCTGGAGTATCTGTGACATTTTTGGGTGAAAATGTGTCCACTGGACTCAAAGTTGAACAACAGTATGCGATTGGCAAGCGTCTGGCATTGGTGAGTAGTACTGGTGCTGTCCGGTCTCAGGGCGAGTCAGCATATGGAGCAAACTTGGAGGTGCGGCTGAGGGAGGCAGATTTTCCAATTGGCCAGGATCAATCCACATTGGGTTTGTCTCTAGTGCGGTGGAGGGGTGACTTGGCCCTGGGGGCAAATTTCCAGTCCCAGTTTTCCCTCGGGCGAAACTACAAGATGGCTGTTCGTGCAGGGTTGAACAACAAGCGCAGTGGACAGATCTCAATCAGAACAAGCAGCTCCGAACAACTACAACTTGCTCTTATTGCTGTGATTCCAGTCGTCAAGGCTATCTACAACAACATCTGGCCCGGAGCCAGTGAGAACTACTCCATGTAGTAAGATACGTCCTATTCATTTTGTCATCTGTTTCCCGTATGTTATATTTATGAGGTCGATGTCTTGATCTTTTGTCAAATAAAGTTGAGATTGCGAGATGAGTAGTGTCGAAAATGCCATGGAACCTAGAGAGGGAGTTTATTCGATGAGACGTTGCTGTTAGAATCTCAGATTATGTATTAATGTTTCGTAGTTAATGAGAAGTTGAGTTTATTCAGTTTTGCTGTTACTCCAGAACAAGGTTTAGGACCTTTCTGCCATTGATGGGAAATCTTTGTGATATCTTTGCACACACATTTGCTTCCCTGACTGCTCGGCGTTTTTGTTGCATGGCTGCTCGTATGAGTAATGAATCGCATTTTTTGGTCAAATTTGTTTTCGTTTTGAGTTGAGTTATTGTTAGAGCAAAAGTTCTTCCGTTTATTTTTCTTTTCGTGAAAGAATTAACGCGTTGAGAAAGCCTCATTTCTACTTAATTTTTCTGTAGCTTTGGTCTTGTAAGGTAGGTTGGTTAGGGTTTTGAGTATCCTCTTGTATTCGATTTATTTAAAGTGCGCCGCTTTGTCAAGAAACTTTAAACGTTCCATAAAACTTTAGACTTGATTGTTGAAAACCAACAAGAAGACTGTTAATGAACTACTTAAACACAAAAAATACACTACAAAACGCTAAATAGAAACCTTTAAAAACGACACTTTTTTTATTTGCTTCTAGTCATTGCATCTAAATTTTTGTATTCAATCCTACTAAATTTAGTCTACAAATTCAACGGTCCAAAAACACCATAAGAAACACAGGACTTACAGCCTCTTTTTTCTCTTCTTGTTTTTTACGCAAGTGACTTAATAGTGCGAAGATAGACATCATGCAAAGAGAATATCTCAAGATCGGAAAACAGCATTTTATTGCATTTCGGCTATGTTGCACGCTCAACCAACATAATCATCTTTTTATGTTGCACGCTCAACCAATATAAACCGAGTTATAATCGAAATTTGAACGTAAAATGAGAAGATTAATACTAGATCGTAATGTGAATCAACAAACTTATTAATTCATAAAAAGATAAAATTTAAAAAAAAATGGAAGAATATAATTAAAAAACAAAATAACATTCCTTGTAAAATGGAAAAGGATCCTCTCCGGATCCCTTTCTCTTAATCCACAAAATCAGAGAATCCGTACCGTTGAAAATTGATCCAACGTCAACCGTTAGATCAATTTTCAACTGCACAGATTTACTAGTTACCACTTCGGACTACAATTCAAAACAAGACCTCCAAAACGGGGCCCAAAATAAACTTCACACAAGGAAAAGAACGAGAAAACCCAAAAGACCATAAAGCCGCCAACCCAGATCAACGGTCGTCACTGCTCCACTACAACATCCCCACCGTTCGTCGAAACGGCAACCCCGTTCTCGGCTTCATCAAACAACTTGGCAATCCTCTCCGTCGGAATCAACGGAAGATACGCCGCCACGGAGTAGCCTCTGTTGACGGTGTACCCGACAGCCCGATTGTACTTGTCGGACCAGTACGACACGGTGGGGACCATTATATGAACCACCTGTGGAAACAGCGGGAGCCGATTCAGCGCGCGCCAAGCCGACACGGCGTACTGCTCCGCCACCGGCTCGTACTTGCAGTACACCTGCTCCGCCACCGGCTCGCATTTAGCATACAAGCTCCCGGTGAGGTTCTTAGCCGTGTCCACCAAGCCGCCTCGCTCCACCGCTCTCGCCACCGATAGCGCCTGGCTCGACACCTGCTTCACCAGAATCGGCACGTGACGCTCCACCTCGCTCAAGGACTCGTCCACCTGCAAAGCACGTGACCGCGATCGAAAATTAACAACTGTTTACACTGTAAATTTGATGGTGGCGGAATATAAGGTTTTAGACTGACCTTGCGATCGACGAATCTGAGGAGTTGGAAGGGAAGGTCTTGGAACTTCTCGTAGACCGGTCCAGTTACGGTTCGGACGGTGCCTTCCACCGTCTGAACACCCGGTTTAAGCGGACCGGAGTTCTCCTTCGCGTACTCGTAGAGGCTCGAGAAGCACACAACCACGTAAATCGACGCCACTTGAACGAATTCCAAATACTTCAGATTCTTCTCGTCCACTCGCACCTACAAACCAAGATCCGAAAGGAACAACATAGAAATTTTCTGTCACTTTGCCGGCAACCAAACAGAAAATTTTCCAAATCAAAATCAACATAACGTTTTCATAATTCCGAAAAAAAAAAAAAAAAAAAAATTCTACCACTTTCTCTAAAACCAAACAGAACTTTTCAAAAATCAAAATCAACAGAAAGTTTTAATCATCCCAAAAGAAAAAGATCGAACTTTTCTATCACTTTCTCGGCAACCAAACAGGAGTGAGAGAGAGAGAGAGTTACCGTTCCTGTAGACTGGGATGCTTCAGAATCCGCCATTTTTGCTCTGCTTTCAAAACCTTGGATGCCTTTCGACTATTTTGAAGTAAAACGGAGAAGACGAAAGGATGCGTTGCGACTCTTTCAAATTTATAGGTGATTCCAACGTGGGCGACAATCTCCAAGAAATCGACGGCTAGGATTAGATGTTCTGTTCCACGTGGCGCTTCGAGAATGGTGGATGTGGCAAATGCGTCAACGGGAGCATTTCCCGGCTTGGTTGGTACTTTTGGTAGGAATAATTCGACGGGTGAGATGAAGCACTGGGGTAGCATGGGGACGTCTTACAAGATGACGACACGTGGACATCTAAGGGTGACACTGCGACAGTTACGTGTCGTCGTCTGGTGAGAGGAGGAGGATTAGATTCTCTGCATGGGCGCGAAAGGCCAAGCGAATGTCCATCAACTTGGCGCGGCACGACGGCCGAGGCGACTGTTTGGTTTCATCCAGTCGGTAATCGTCTGCGACGAGGGTTGTGATACGGCCGTGAGCTGCGCCCTTCATCCAATAGGAACTCTTTTGGAAATGTCGATTCGAAATTAAATCACTTATGTTTTGTTGGAAAAATAAAGTATTCATGTAGAGATCTATTCCCAGAGAAAGGAATCCTCTCCAGATATCTTTTTCTTAATTCACTAAGTTTGGAGATCTGAACAGTTGAAATTTGATCAAACGGTCAAAATTATTATAATTTTAAAGTGAGCTCATATTTGTAGCTGTTTGATTAAATTTTATCAGTCCGGTTCCCCAAACTTGGTGGATTAGGAGAAAAAGATCCGGAGAGAATCCCCCTTTCCTATTCCAAGGATCATCCAGAGTCCAGAGCCCCGCACTCAAAGGTCAGAAAATCTGGATCACTTAAATTAAAATTAATAGTCTTTATTCATTCATTTTGTTGGTCATGTCTCACAAATAAAATGCTTCAATTTTTTCCCACAAAACAAAAGTCTGAATTTTTTTTATTATTAAGCACCAGACACAAGATTCGGAGAGAATTCAAATTCGATGTCCATACATGAAATTGCATGTCTTTGCCCGTTCTGTTGTGATTAATAAATTTTATTGAGCTTAAATTTTGAACTAATTCATACTACGAGAAAGCATAATACAAATGGTCATAGTTTTATCCATGTGAATTTTTTTTGTGAACAAAGTCTATGTGAATTGAATATGAGAATTTATATTTTTGATTTTATAAATAAGCAGTTTTGATTAAAAAGTGTGTAATATGAAAATTTGTATTTTTTTGTGTTAATTATAAAAATTTATAGCTATCATGTGACATCGTGACAGTCACTATGTTCTAATTTTACAATTATCAAAATCAATGGTTAAAAATAGAATTTAATATTAAAAAAATTAAGGAAAATGATTTTAAAACTTTGAACTTTAATCAAAATGACAAAAAAATGTTGTATGTGAATAGTATTATAAGTGACTTTTTAGAGTAAAAATTTTAATTTCATTAAAAATAAACTGTAATGTTTCGTTAAAACCCACTTTTATATTTTCATCCAATCAAATCAATGGTTAAGATTGAGCAGAGTGCAGAGAGGAACCTTTTGACTCTTTAAGCTTTGCCTCGTCAAAATGCAAGATCGGAGCTTATGACCATGGATGCTGCTAGCAAAGAAATTCTCCGGCAAGTATTCGGCGATTCGTCGGACAGCGACGACCTGGAACCGGGCGATGGATCCGATTCCGACCCGACCCATTTCTGGGAGCCGATCAAACAAATCAAGGGGCTGTGGTTGTGCAGAGACTTCCTCTCTCCTCAGCACCAGTCCTCTTTGCTCTCCACAATCCAAAACGGTGCGTTTTCGTTCTTTACTCGTAGTCTAATTTCACATTTTTCTATGAGTCTTTTTGCTTCATTTTGTCACAAGTAGCCTTGTACAGGAAAATGCCTTGCTATGAACTATAAGGGTAAAAAGGATCAGGTCGTGTTTCCGACACAAAAAAATATCTCATTTAGCTGTCCAGTCTCCTCCATCTAGTTGTTTTCGATTGAAAGTTTGTAACTATTTCTATTTGTGCGTATTTCCCGGCCGGAAGTATGGATGCTTTCGGCGTTGTCTGCATTGATCTCACATACAGTGGCTTATTAACTTGTGGTTGCAGAAGCATGGTTCACTCAAGCCTCTCATAATCAGGTGCACATATTACATGCATATGTTTTTTTCTTTAATACATCGATATTTTTACATTAAGAGAAGGGAGAGCTCGGCTCAGCCACATAATGAGCAACCTAATTTAGTTTTGATCTCGCTATCCACAAGATTCAAACTTAAGATCTCTCACTTCCAAGTGAAAAGAAATAGCACCAGACCGTAGTACTGAGTAATTATTACATTCATATGTTAGGATACAAATTGTATTTTGGCCTGGTGTTTATTTTTCTAATATCTGTAAACCTTAATGGTAAATGTGAGATTGCAATCGCGTAAATAAGCGCAAACAGAACAAGTTACAAACGCTTAGTCAAAAATAGAATTGGGAGGACACTAAACAGATGACCAGCCGTACAAAAATCGCGGTTAGAAGTTTGCAAACGGCTGATTTTCTGCTTGTCTCATCCCGCCAACGTGCTAAGAGTACCGGGTAATTGGTGCATTGCGAGCTGAAGGAATTTGCTTTCCCTGCAGGCAATGAGGTTCGGGGATCTTCCAGCATGGGCGGACGAGCTTTCGCGTTCTATTCACAAGGTTGCGCTTGCAAGTGACTGTGTTTTGGGAAGCAATGATGGTGTGAAGGAGAATGCCTCTCCATTTCCATCCCATCTTTTGTGCAGAGAGCCGCTCTTTGACCAGCTCATTCTAAATTCTTACCAACCGGGTGAGGTGCGAGATGAATTTTGCCTCTTCGTACTCAGATTTATTGCGTGAGAAAATACTTGAGTTGACGATGTTGATTTGTATCTAAAATACTAGCATAATGCCATGTTCTTCGAACAAGTGCAAGTTTTTGTTTGATCACTAACTATGCAGATTTGATGCACTGCTATCAGAAGAATTAACAATCGAGATTGACATCCGCCACCTGCATTTCTGTGCAGGGAATCTGTGCGCACGTTGATCTCATGCGCTTCGAAGATGGAATTGCCATTCTCTCCTTGGAGTCGTCATGTGTGATGCATTTTAGTCAAGTTGAAGGAACAAATAAGGAAAATGATCCCGCCGTGGCCAAGATTCCAGTTTATCTTAACCCCGGATCCCTAATTTTCATGTCAGGAGAAGCGCGATACCATTGGAAGCACGAGATTAACCGCACGCCTGGAATTCAGAAGTGGGAAGGGGAGGAACTAACTCAGACGAGGAGAATCTCCATAACCCTGAGGAAGCTCTGCCAAGTGGAGTAGGTCTTTATTCAGCAGAATATCTTTCTACTTTTCCAATTCCTATCGAATTTGAGGATCCAATTGCACTTGGAAAGCGCGTAGTTTCAGGAATTGAAGTTCAGATTGCACTGCATGATCTCATTGATCCGCTTTCGCAAACGGAGCCAGTTTGAAAGGAACGCTTAAGGAAGCTGATTATCCAAGATTCCAATGGCCAAGATGAATGCTTATGGAAGCAAATTATAGACTGACTTTTGCGTTTTTTAAATGTATCATGGTAAACCAGAAGATACCCGTTCAATTTTGACATGTGTGCATAACCTTCTTCGATCATATGGTCACGATTTGTTCACAAAGCTTTGGTTCATGTCTCCTTAGATAGATCAACGACACAGAGGTACGTTGTTGTTGCAGAAATGGCAGGCGATTAACAGTCAATGAGAAATTGTTCATTACATATAAATAAATAGTCAAGCAACTTTTTAGGACACTACTTGATTGCTGAAAATTCAACAGTCACTTCTGCTCATATTAAATGACAGTTGAATACGTGTTTAATTTGTGTTTACAATTTCAATTATTTAGACTCGTATCGAAATGTGATTGGGTATTAACAGAGTTCAGCAGACAAGTAATATTCTACTTTTTAAATCACTCTAATATGTAAAGAGAGAAGTGAAACTCGAGTGCAAAAGGAGAGACGAACTCCCCATTCATGCATTAATTTTGCCTTTAAACGGATGATAGTGGGCCTAATCGTCCTCTCAAGTGGGTCCAAACTCTAAAGGCCCAAACCACAAAACATTTTTCGGTTGGCTTTTTGTTTGGTCTGTTTCTTTCAGCTGCCGTACTATTTTAACAAGACACGTGTGTTTTAGCTAACATTTTAAACATCGTACAGATTTCCGACAGGAGCTTAGAAATCTTTGTACGAAGTCCAATTCTGTCAAAATTCTGGATTCTAGGGTTTCCACTGCCACTCCCCCGCCCACCAAAATTTCCCAAAATCCCCAATTTATTTATGTTCAATTGAGGTTGAAATTTTAGCTATGTTATTAGAGAAATGCTTGGGAGCTCAACGATCGCGACGGATCCAGAGAGCTCTCCGGCACTCCAAGGTCACGATCCTCTGCCTCGTCCTCACGGTGGTCGTCCTTCGGGGCACGATCGGAGCCGGCAAGTTCGGAACCCCGGAACAGGACTTCCTCGAGATTCGCGACCACTTCTACTCCCGCAAGCGGGCGGAGGCCCACCGCGTCCTGGAGGAGGTCCACGCGACGCCGTCGGACCCCAACAACTACAACGCCTTCGATATTAAGAAGCTCCTTGTCGATGAAGGTGAGGAGGAACAGCTCGACCCGAATAAGCCATACACTCTCGGACCCAAGATTTCGAATTGGGACGAGTTGAGGTCGAAATGGCTGAGGGAAAACCCTAATTTCCCAAATTTCATCGGGCCTGGTAAGCCCCGGGTGCTTCTGGTGACTGGGTCTTCGCCGAAACCCTGCGAAAATCCGGTAGGTGATCATTACTTGTTGAAGTCGATTAAGAACAAAATTGATTATTGTAGATTACATGGGATTGAGGTTTTTTACAATATGGCTCTTTTGGATGCTGAAATGGCGGGTTTCTGGGCTAAGCTTCCGTTGATTCGGAAGCTCCTTTTGTCCCACCCGGAGGTTGAGTTTCTATGGTGGATGGATAGTGATGCAATGTTTACAGATATGGCGTTTGAATTGCCATGGGAGAGGTACAAAGATTCCAACTTTGTGATGCACGGGTGGAACAAGACGGTTTATGATGAGAAAAGTTGGATTGGGTTGAATACCGGGAGTTTTTTGTTGAGGAATACGCAGTGGTCGTTGGATATACTCGATGCTTGGGCTCCGATGGGACCGAAAGGGAAAATCAGGGAGGAGGCCGGGAAGGTACTCACTAAGGAATTGAAGGGTAGGCCGGTTTTCGAAGCTGATGATCAGTCAGCCATGGTCTACATTTTGGCCACTCAAAGACAGAAGTGGGGTGATAAGGTTTATCTTGAGAGTGGATATTATTTGCATGGATATTGGGGGATTTTGGTTGATAGATATGAAGAAATGATTGAGAATTATCGCCCTGGTTTGGGCGACCACCGGTGGCCACTGGTGACGCATTTTGTAGGTTGCAAGCCGTGCGGAAAATTAGCAGATTACCCGGTTGAGAGATGCTTGAAGCAGATGGATAGAGCTTTTAACTTTGGGGACAATCAGATTCTTCAGATCTATGGTTTCACGCACCGGTCATTGGGCAGTAGAAGAGTTAAGAGAGTTAGGAACGAGATAAACAATCCGCTCGAGGTTAAAGATGAACATGGATTGCTTCATCCGGCATTCAAGGCCGCCAAGGTATCGTCTTCTTAGTTCACTCGTGTTACTAGGATTTGTTACACTCTCTATGTTTTCTGTATTCCCTGTGCTAGTTGTGGAGATAGTATTCTTTTGTACCTTATAAATTTGCGTACCACTTCCGTTATGAAATGAGAGAGATTATTTATTGTATCCAACATTCCAATTCAATTTTGTAGACATTATTGTATAAATATTCATAATGTGGTGAGACCTGTTCAGACTTGTGTTTGTGGATTATGTAACACACATGGCGATTGACAATCTTATGATGGATTTTCCCTGAGTTATTACACTAGCGGAGAGACTTTCCTATCCCGAGATGTATACATCGTGTGATGGGATATGTATACATCCCGCGCCAGGATAGGCCGGGATAGGAAAGTCTCTCCTACCAAGCTAGTTCATTTCTCACTGGTTTTTGGGATTTCGATCTCGAGACTGGAATTCTTAAATACTCTGGCTGTTTATGCTTCATTTGTGCCCCTATATCTAAAGACGATTGCATGAACACATGATACAAATCCTGCAACTTTTCGGTTGTAAGGCTGCACTTACCACCTAGACTAGCCCATCGTGACGTTTGGAAGATATTCCTGCTTGAAAATGTTTTTAAAATAACTAAAAAGTGCAAAATTGCCAAAAGCGCTATGGCATGAAAACTTAATTACTCATGGATCAGGAAAAACACTTTGAATTGTTTTCTAAAAGAAGCACTTGTTGGCTTCTTGCATGAAAGGCTCAAGTACTTTTACAGGAAGTGCTTCTAATAGAATTTATCATTTCTAAACGGACCTTGCAAGACACAAAAGGTTATTAGTAATTAAATTGACATTTCAGTGGAATACAAGCTTCAGATTTACAACGGCCAAAAACGCAACCCATGCCAAACTCGGCTTCATAAGATCGGCGGCGACCGGATTCACATCCTTAAACACCCGAGAACACCCGATCATCGCCCCGAACATCCCCATGCACACGAACAACCCGACCCACGGTGCCCCCGCCCCGAACACAATCGGATCCCAAATCAAGCTCAACCCTAGCTGGGCCAAGTAAATGGGCAGAGCCATCGGGTTCTTATGGAAACCACCTTCGGCCCACACTAACCAAGCGGCCAGGCCCATGAGGAAGCTGGAGGCCATGCAGGTTAACCGCAGGGCCCACAAGGGAGGGATCCAGAAGGGCTTGGATCCGACGCGGTAGGGGTCGGATGAACCTGCGTAGATAGCGATGAGGTGGAGAGTGACGGGGATTGCGACGGCCACGGCTAAGGACCTAAGGCCGCGTTTGGCCATGTCCATTCTCATGTCCTTTTTGCTTCTGTAACCGCCCTTCTTCCCGGCAGGGGCGGCGGCAGGATCCTCTGTCCTGCGTTGCTTGAGGTGGTCGGAATAATTATCCATTTTTCAGAGAGATGAATCACTTTGTCTTTTTTGTTTGTTTGTTTTTATGTTATAGTTTTATTGGAGGAATTTCAGGTGGGAATTATATACAGGAGAGCGATTTTACAGGGAGGACACGTGGGCGGAGGTGGAGGCAAGGAGCGGATGGGAACGGAACGTACACGTGGCTAACGGAACGTACACGTGGCTAATGGGGGGATTATACACGTAGTAGCAGATGATTAATGGTGGAAGCTGGGTGCAGAGCCAAAAACTCACAATGTCGGTTGATGTTGTCATGCATGCATGCATGCACGTAGGGGATAAGATTTGCAAAAGGGTGATAAGATACTCTTTAAACTTGTATTCATTCCTTTTCGAAAAGAAAAAAAAAAAAATTGTAATCATCCAAATATGGGAGATAATTTTTTTTTAATCTTAAGCTACATGACACCGGAGTATGACAGACTTCGACATTTAAAACCGTTAGATCCAATTCATATGAATGATAATTTTCTTATAATCTTAACTATTTTATATTAACGTGAGTCTTAATGAGTATGTAAAGAGTATGTAAATATTTTAGGAATCCTTTATTAGAAAGGATATTTTATGAGGAAAATTAATGAAAATATCTTGAAAATTTTGAGTTTTAACGAAAATGACAAAATAAAGGGTAGAGTAAATAGTACGAGGATTGACTTTTTAGTGTAAAAATGTGATTTTTCGTTGAAGTGAACAGTATCGGAAGTTTTTCGTTAAAATTATCTATTTTATGTCCTTTTATGTTTCCTTGTGAATCAAGAATTATATGTATATATATTCTTAGTCTTGTACATAATAAAATAATAAGTATTAAACTGTAAAGTTCTATTACACCGGAGTATGACAGACTCCGACATTTAAAACCGTTAGATCTAAGCCGAGAATTGAATCTGGCAGTTTAAATGTTGGGGAATGGATTATTCTAAATGGAGTATGAATTTCCAGTTTATTGTTGAGAAACTACAAGCATCCAACAACAATAAAACGACCACTGAGGTTTTTCTAAGGGATTTATATTCTGTATCACAATGTGTGTTGCGAATTTTATTCTACACTTTCACCTTTCTGTAATGCTTTCTTTTGGGTCGGAAATTTATTAAAATTTATTAGGGAAACTTTAATTGGATTGCTATCTATTATTACTCTCTACATTTATATTATATTTTAATTCTTCAACTCTCAGAAAGGCTTGTTGGCTTGAAGTTACGCTTTATTAGCAGCTATTTAAATCAAACATTACTTCATAACCTACTCCACTCAAAAAAACTTTAACATATGTAATTTATTTTTACATCCAACTAAATTAATTGATTATTAAAGGAAAAGAAGTACCAAAATCTACCACTAGAGAGAGAGATCAAAGTTATCGTTCTATTTCAAAGTCTATCAAAATCTGTGCATATGTAGCGTGAACGGAGACATGCTTTTACGAGAGATTTTTCAGTGTGATCGTCACACGAGACGGTACATCACTTGTCATTATATAAATGGTGGGATATGTGTGTTAAAAGGTTAATAACTTAAAAATTAAAATTTTCCACCACTTACATAAAAACACGTGATGTACCATCTGTATTCCCGTCATAACTAAAAATTTCTCTGCTTTTACAAAGTGCATACATAATTTCAAATAAATTGCACGATAGCCAAAAAACTAACAAAAACACAAGGTAGCTATTGAAATTCCAAACCACCAAACAAGTTTTAAGTTTAAACTTTATTTCTCATCCTTTTGAATCTCAGTTTCACGCGGTTGTGACAACTTCAGTCGCAGGTACTTCCAGCTACGACACAAATTGCAAGGGCATTTGTAATAGTGTTTCAATTCGTAACTTGTATCCCAAGTATCATGTGCCACCGCTTCCACTTCAAATGATGAACAAACTCCTTCACCATTCCCATCTTTCTTAACTAATTGTGTGTCAAGGACTTGTGCTGTACTCCATTCTCCTCCCCTAGATGAATAATTCAACAACGTTTAATTAGTAAAACTGGCATTTTTTATTGAACCAAATCAAAAAGTAAATACATAGAGTATATACTAGCGAGTAGCTAAGTAATATCTAAAAATATATGTCGTGTTAAGGAGTTGTGTGTAAACTGGCCAGATCTACATCTACGTCAAAGCACACAAATGTAGAGTAAATCCAGAAAATGATTACCCATAAATTTTGTTAAGAGTCTTTTCCAAGAGTATGGCAGAGCCACCGGCTAGGTCATCTACCTTTTCCCCATTTTGAAAGAAACGGAATGTTGGCTGCAATAGAAATGCACACATAGTAAATAATTATGGATCTAGCCCCAAACTATAAGGTTGATTTAAAGTTGGCAGCCGATCTTGAAGACCCTACAAACATATAAATAGTCTGACATGAGCATAAATATAAAATTTTCGTGAATTTGAGTATCAACTTCTAGGATCTTCAAAGATCGTATGCCAGCTCGAATTAACCCTATAATTTGTGAGGTTAACTGACCCAATTAACTTTTTATCTTAAGACAAACGAAAGCTAAAATTTATTTCCCAAATGTAGTATAATGTATGGTCATCATTACCAAATTATTAATTATGATATGGTACAAATTACATGTTACAACACAAATTAACGAATTTTATTTTGAATACAAATATAATTAAACATATGGTAAATATTAAACTAAGTATGAACATTGCATCCAAACAAAAAAAAAATTGAACCATTTACCGTACAATTGATATTGTATTCTCTTATTACATTAATGCGGTCGTCTTCTTTCTGCAGAGAGAATAAACAAATTTAAGTAATCTTGAGGCAATATAAGAAAACTATCATGATTGACAAATAATTTGGACAAAGTGAACAGAAGATCATTCGACAATGCCGTACCAGATGATCAATGATAATTTCATACAATGCTACGTGTGGGAATTCCTTAGCCCACCTATTGATGACTGACTGTATGAAGCAAAAGTCTGCAGAAGAAGAGTAAACCCAGCATATGTTGAAAACTAGTACTTGGTTGAATGATTTGGCTGTTAAAAATAAATTCATAAGAACTTACCATCTGTTCGAGCGTCAAAGAAGCAGAAGACCTCTGATGAAGATTTATCTATATCCCAATGAATTAATGAAAACACATAAGTAAAACTGCTTTACACTAAAATGTTTTCTCAAAACAGAACAGATTCAAACAAATTTAAGATCAAATTAGGATTAAAGTGTATATATATATATATATGTGTGTGTGTGTGTGTGTGTGTACCTGTATATATAATTGTGCAGAAGAGATTACCTTGAACTCTTTTAATCTCCAAATCATACTCATCTTTTTCATAAAAGGAGATTTCCGGGGGAACTGAAAAATAAAGTACTTGTGGGAGTTCATCCTTGATCCTGAGGTGTGCCACTGTAATCCAGTCTTATATTAACTTGAATCCTTTTTTTTCTTTTTTTTTTTTTTTTTCTGGAAACCGTTCGCTTTTCTGCCAAGTTTTTTAATCCGAACTTAATATTTAAGAATAAGGTAGAAAACAACTTAGGGGTTGTTTAGTATTCTGATAAGTGTGCGTTAGGAAAAGATGCCCCTAAATGAAGGGAATTGATGTTGGGTATCGGCAGCGGAAGAGTAATGGGTAAAGTATAAAGCTAAATTTCTGAAAATAATTTCTTATATTGATGCAGGAAGGTGTTGTACAAAAGGGGGTCTGAGGGTCTTTTTTTTCTTGCATTCCATCTTTTAAT